GACTGACCTCTTAACCATTTTGTGCTTGTTATAGTTTTCATGCTATAACTTTTAAATTAGTAAGCGTATTTTAACTAAAATTTGGCATATTATCAGTAAACATTACAATGCTTTCATATATAAAATGTCAAGTGATTTTTATGTCTTAAGGTTTGTTAAGCAATGTTTTTGTCCAGCCTTTTTTTTTCTTTTCGCATGTTGCCTACAAGCAAAGTAATTTTTTATTTAAGATTAAAAATACTTTTATGCATAAGAAAATTTTCAAATTTCACATGCAAAATCTTTATAATGTCCAGATAGTTATCAAATGTTTCTTAAGAAAAACAAATTTACATTTTATCTGTTATTTTCACTTACGAATCTCTGTATGGGTCAATCAATTTGACCAATCTTGTAACCACCATAAAAAATTAGGAAATGAATATAAATTCTGCCTCTTTTGTTCTAAAGTGACAACATATTATAACAAAAAAACATAAATATTTAGACTAAATAGCTTAAACCCCATAACATTATACATTTATTATTTTAATTATATTGACCATTCAGCCGTGCCTGGCTCACGATACAGAAGTTAACGTGGCACACAAGCTCTCATGTTACCATATCAAATATTAAAAAACTGACCTTTAGTCTTTACAAAATGACCTGTCTTGGTCGTGTTTTAGTACTTTTATTTTATAAAATACAGTTACACTTCAATTATTATACACTAAATATGTATATAGATTATTACTATTTACAAATAAGTTCTTATTAAACTTATTTTTCTTAAAACACAGAACATTAAATAAAGAAGCAAAGCAAACCATTATCTCTTCTAGTTATGATCTTTGTACTTGGTTGCTGCTTGATGTAGGTTGCGATGAGTTTTAAAATTTTGCACATGGAGGATATGAAATGAAAATTTTTTTTTAGGTTTTATATATATAGTTAAATAACCAAAAATCATAAATTACTATATCAATACCATAGAATTCCACTATAATTTATTAAACTTAGTAACTAAGATGTATTTGGGTCTAAAAGAATATGAAATTTCGAGCAGACTAAAAACACAACCTACCTCCTTAAAATCTTGGTTCGAAAGAAAAAGGTGGCATCCTAACACATGAAAATGGCTGAGAAACCCACTAGGGGACATTCTGAGCTTTCAAATGGTTCTTCACATATCATATATTGAAGTAAGTGTATATAAAGGACCATTTCCAAAAATGGAAAGAGGTGAGCAGGGCCACTGTGTTTGGTTCATTACTAGTGGTATATCAGCAAAGAGAAAAGATAGGAGGTTCTTATTTTATATTCTAGCTCATCAATATCAGTAATTTGAGTTCCTAATTTGTACAAAACTATAGACTTAGTATTTTGACATAACAAACATCGATGTTTAACTGTATTTTTAATATTAACTTTTAAATTAAGAAATTAAATAATGTATAATACTAAAATTTGAATTTTAATATACAGTTTGATACCAAACTTATTGACATAAACTCAAGAAATTGTAGTTCAATAAAATTTTGAATATGAGTCAACAAATGCAATGGCATGGCCTTTGACCTGTCTGGAAAGGGTTAATCTTTAGTTAGGCCTAGACACAAAGATAGAAAACTAATAATGTATAATAAGTGTAGGAAATAAACACGTCTGATTGGTAAGTCTGCTGAGGAGAGTGATTGAAGAAAGGTAGAACTGATGGGACCTACTATGCATGGAGGCTATGTTGCCCTCCCATTGATGGAGGGTATCAGCATAATGATATTATGACATATGCTGGTGCAGAGAGCCTCTAGGGATTGGAGTTTTTTCTAGGCTTGTGGCAGTGTAGGAAATTAATAGGAAGTATGCATGAGGAATAGCTCATTAGTGATGCAAATAGGTAATGAAAAGTCTCTGAAAATAGTCATAAATGAATTGGTTAATTAACATTCATGTGTAATGATGACTATGATCATCAACTATAGTCTTGTTCTACTAGAACCTCTTTCCTGTATGTCTGTTTGAATGAGAATAAGTAAACAATACATTGCAAGAATTGTATTTTTAACAAAAACATTCAGTTTAAAACATTTAGACAGTTTTTGTGACATTGTAAAAGAAATTGTAATTGTGGTTAATAGGAAATTGTCAGCATGAAGACCAATGTCATATGGTAATAAATTTAACGTGACCAGTCGTGCTACCTCAGCACAACCAGAATGGATCAGTTGGGTGTGCCTTAATGTCAAACCCTGATGGTTATTCGTCATTACAGCTTGATTCAATCAAGAAACATGAGGTCAGTAACACTCAGTTGAATTGTGAAAATGCCAGCAAGGCATCATCAAGACTACAACTCTCCCAAAAATTGTACTCTCAATGGATGATAAAGAGACTGACATGATAGAAAAACTGTTTACAACTGCATTCTATGTTGCATATCATAAGAAGACCTACATTGATTTTCCAGGCCTTATGTCACTGTAAGACACTATTTTTGGCACAAAACTAAATGCACACTAGGCAAGTGACAAACAAGTAAGAACATTCATATTTTTCCATTGCTCATGATATACATGAAAATCTTAAGAGATAATACGAGAAAATCTGGACTTTTGGGCTCACTGACAATTCTTGTATTGACACATCTGTGATTGACAAAGAAACTATTAACATTAGAATCCTTAATGAACATTTTTATCCAGTAACTCACTTCCTGTCACTTAGAAATGTGGAAAAAGCTGATGGCAAGGGAATTAAAAGTGCCTTTGTGAAGGCTATGGAAATTAATAGTAACTGTAAAAATTGGAAGGGCCATCTCACAAATGTGACAACTGATGGTGTCCCTGTAATGACAATTGTAAACATGTTATGAACCTCCACTGCACCAACCATTGTCCAGAACTTGCTACCAAAGCATGCATGAAAAAGTTGACATAACATAATAGAACATATACAAATTTTATCACTATGAACCTCTTAACTCCTTGACTACAGGTCTAGGTGCATTGCACTCAGTAGTTACCCACCAAAGTAACTATGGGAGTAGTCATACTACAACTTTTAATAATGTATACATATCTTTATGAAGTTTTACAGATTATCAGTAAACATTACAAAACGTTTTTACACAAAATATCAGATTTTTAAATTAAAGTTCTGTTCATGATTTTTTTCCTTTTGGAGTGTTGACTATCTAATATGTAAAGTAATTTTATTTTGAAATTAAAACACTTTTCTTCATATAAAAATTGTTATTTGCATAATTGCTATAACCTCCTCGATAACTATCAAATGTTGGTTAATTTGACTGAACCTATAACCACCATAAAAAATTAGGAAATAGATCTAAATTACCTTTTTACTTTCTAAAATGACTGCAAATTGTACCAAAATACCTCAAATGTTTATTCTAAATAGCTTATATCTAGTAACAGGACACATATATTTATATTTATTAATTTTTGTTTTATCAAACTTTGAACCATGTCTGACTAATAATATCATCACACAAGTTGTAAATTACTGTACTGTATTGAATAGCATAAAAACAAGCCTTTACAAAGTACAAATGTCATACTCTTCTTAGTCTTAGTACTAGCATACCAGTATTCTGTAAAATACAATCACATTTTGGTTAACATACATTACATATGTATATATGTTATTCCTACTTATAAATATATTCTTAAATTTCAATTATTTTTCTTAACCCTTTGACTTCTGGTGAATTCTAAATTCCATTCTCTGCATGTCACAAAGTGTTACTGAGTTTCATTCAAAATTTAATTAAACCACTTTACTATCAATGTATTTTAATGAAATCATTATTATCAAGTATCTTATAAATCAAAGTTTTATATTATCTAAGTTTGATTCTTCTATTTCAAAAGAAACCTCTAAAACAAATAACTGAAACTTCAGTTTTGTTGTCACATGATGAGCATACAGTTAAAAATATCCGAGCTTTAGTTTTTCTACTTCTTTTCAGTTTAGTCGAGTACCCCTATGATGTCTAGATGAGCTTGTATACATAAAAGCTCAAATTCTAAACATTTAACCTTACAACTGGATCTTTTGTAAGAAGAAGCTATATATCTTTCTCTCCCTCTGATAGAAGCCATGCTCACTTTCAAAAGTGGAAACAATATTGCTAAGTGCCAGTTTTAACTTAAATAACATACTTATAACCAACTGAAAGAGCTTTTTTCAGATTATAATCTCTCAAGTAAATAAGCAAGCTTAATTGGCCACTATATATTGTTGGACCATCATCTGCTAGCACTCAAGTTTATTTTTTTTCTCGCCTTATATCAGTTACTTTGATAGAGCAGTTAAACTGTGTTTAGGTTTTACTTTAATATTTTACTTAATTATGTATAACTTGTGTTTTAAAATTCATACTTGAAAGGTTTAATGATTTTGTAATGTATTCTAAATTCGCCCTGCTCCACAAGGGTTACTTACTAAGTGAGTGCAAAAACATTTTGCCAGAGGCTAATGTATCTCTGATGATGATACCATTATATCACCCACAGGCACCTATTGACATGTGTTGACATAAATAATCAACAGTAAAGAACAGGAAATGAAAATAAAACATTAAAAATATACTATAAGTGAAAAGGTAAAAAAGACATGAAATTATGCCCTTGTAATAATAATCATATCCTCTTTAGTTTTAAACAAAAACAATTAACGTCTTTTAAAAATTGGCATTTTTAAATTTTAGAACTTTTACTTTTAGAGGTCGGTTTGACCATTTGGTAAATTGTTAGCCAGAATTGAGGCTAGGTCACAGGAGCTAGTTTAAGCTAAAGCTAGTACAATATAATACAGAAAAAAATGCACTTAACAATAACATTGTCACTAACACTAACAGTGAAGTTAAAGTGATTTTTATTATAAATTTTAGGCCTAAATTGCTACTGCTGTTAAACTTTAAAGACTAAATCAATAAATGTGTCAGACTAAATACTAACATGACTTATTTTAATTCAAGCATCTGCTTTTTAACTTACAGATTTCAGAATTTCATTTAACAAAGAAATTTCGTTTTCAATGTCCTCTTTTTTCTCATTAACTTCAGAAGATTCTCTCGCATCGCCTCAGTTGATAACGTCATTTTCATCGGTTTAAACCTTACTTAGTAGATCGAACTTGAACTCTTGCTACCCTGTTTCCAATCGTGCAATCAAACACCT